GTGCCCCCCGAGGCCCTGTGCCCCCCCTGCTCCTGTTCCCCTGAGCTCCCGCGGTTGTCTTGACCGAGGAGGTGTGTGATTGAGTTGAGCCGACGGTCGCTCCAGGCGTTGGTTTGGGGTACTTTGTTCTGACTGTCGTCCGTAGACCGTTTTGACGCACGGGGCACGCGCCAAGATGAAGGCGATGGCGACGGCGGCGGCGGCGGCGGCGGCCCAGCTGGTGATGCTGCTCCTGATTGCCGGTCCCGCAGCGTGTCGCGGCCAGGTGCAATTTTCTCGAATGGCCCAGACGTTGCTCGCCAGATCCAACAATGGTGGCGAGTATTATTGGGCCCACGATCATCAAACGCTGGAACAGTGCAAGGCCCTGTGCACCTTTGACATGCACTGTCGCTCCTTCGACTATCAGACCAACCTGGCGGATGGTGGAGATTGCTACTTGTCCTTTGACAACTCTTCCACTGGCATTGTGACCTCGTACCCTTACTTTGATCTCTACGATGTCAACAACGCCCCCTCCAGCCTGCCTTTCTTCACTCGAACCCCACAACGATACCTGATCAACAATAACGATGGCGGCCGGTTTGAAAACTTGGGCATGTCCGCCGAAGCCTGTGCCTCCCAATGCCTCCGTGATCTCGCCTGTCTCTCCTTTGATTTCTTCTCCGACTCGACTGGGACGCGATGCTACATCTCTTATGAAACCGCCGCCCAGGCGGGCCCTGGTAGCCTGGATTACACCGCCACCGGTAGCTACTACGAGCGTCTTCCCCTGGTGGCCTCGCCCTCCAACCCCCATTGCCCTCCCGGTCACGTTTCTCCCACTGGCTACTTCAACGATGCCTTTCCAGCTGGCCGAAATTGCGTCAAGTGTCCCAACAACACGTACGCCGCCAACGCCAAAGCCTACTGTGCTTCCTGCCCCAAGGGCTTTGTCAGCCCCGCCGGCGCTGACACCGTCGATGCTTGCCAACCCAACACCACCATCTTCTCAAATGCCACCCTCTCGATTGGCGATCGCTACGTTGGTCGCTACTCCATCGTCTGCGGGCCCGCAGTCGAATCCGATGGCCACCTGGAACTCACCGTCATTAGCATCACCGCGTCTGCCACCAGCGCAGCCTACATTGTCCGCGTTCAAGTTGAACTGGTGGATGAGGATGATTTTGATGTGGAATTTGTGCAGGACATTACGGTCGACGATGTGTACGCCACCTCCATCCCAATTTACATCGCCGCCAGAGCTGGTGGCATCAACAACGTCTTTCGTGGCACAATTGCCGTTGGCAGCAGCGACGACCCGACCGACCAGGGCCTCAGCTTCTCAGGCACCCTGACCCAGGGCACTTGCCCGGGTTATTTTTCGGCTCTTCGCTCCTGTCATCTCCCTCATAGCGGAACCCCCTTTGAAATTGGAGATCAATGGGTTGGCAGCTTCGAGTGCACGGCCTATTATGGCCTCCTGCCAGACACCTCGCACCGTCGTCTTGATGTCATTGTCACCGGCATCAGTGGGAACAACTTTACCGTTCTTGTCGATGTCACCTCGGATTCGCTCGAAGAATGTACGTGTCAGCTTGCAGATCCAATCACACACACACACACACACACACACACACACACACACACACACACACACACACACACACACACACACACACACACACACACACACACACACACACACACACACACACACACACACACACACACACACACACACACACACACACACACACACACACACACACACACACACACGCACATACACACACCACATGCTCTGGCGTCAGGACCTCACCCGCAGTTGATTATTATGCTTGAACCCCCACCTACCGTCCCTTCGCGTTATATAGCTCGTTACCGCGCGACCGGTTCCTTTGATCCAGTGACGCGCAAGGTCGTGATTCTACCACGTGGTGCCGACGCGTGGATCTCGCGCCCAAGCAATACCGTGACAGCAGATATGGTTGGAACGATTTCCGAGGATAATCTTCTCTTCACGGGTCAGCGAGACCCCAACCCCCTTTGCGAGTGCACTGGCGAAACTTTTGTTCGCAATGGCCAAACAGTCGGGGGCTACTGTTCGACGACAGGTCGCCCCACCACTAGTTACCCGGCCACGCAGTGGTGCTATGTGCACCCCGATTGCCCCGACGGCGAGGATGACATTGAAGCCGGTTTACGTTGGATGGATTGTCTGGCCACTGAATTGTGTGATGCTGTTGAACTTCATCGTGTGTGCCCCGACCCTGGCTTTGATGTGGGACCATGCTCTTGTGAAGGCTATGCCGACGCTGCAGGAGCGGGTGCCACTTGCCAAATGTATGCCACAGGCCCCATCGACCACGATATGCCCATCTCGCAGCCCTGGTGCTACGTTCGAGAAAGTTGTAACCGGGCACAAGCTGGCAAAAACAGCACTTGGTGGGCCACGTGCGACTCTGCCGCAACCACAACAACCACGACCGTCGCAACAACCACGACAACCACAACAACTACTACAACTACTACAACGACTACGGCTTCCACGACAAGCACGACTACCACGACTTCCAGCTCGTCTTCCGAAGCCCCTAGCTCGACCACGACTACAACTACCACAACAACAACCACTACAACCACTACTACCACTACTACCACTACCACTACTACCACTGCTGCCGCTACTACCACTACTACCACTACCACTGCTACCACTACTGCCACTACTACCACTACGACCACTACTACCACTACTACCACGACTACGACCACTACTACTACTACTAATACTGCTACTCCTACTACTACCACCACCACCACCACCAGTATCACAGCCCTATCAACGGAAGAACCGACATCGACAATCAAGGCAACAACATCCAAGGCAACAACACCCGAGGCAACAACACCCGAGGCAACAACACCCGAGGCAACAACACCAGAGGCAACAACACCAGAGGCAACAACACCAGAGGCAACAACACCCGAGGCAACAACACCCGAGGCAACAACATCCAAGGCAACAACACCCGAGGCAACAACACCCGAGGCAACAACACCCGAGGCAACAACATCCAAGGCAACAACACCCGAGGCAACAACACCCGAGGCAACAACACCCGAGGCAACAACACCCGAGGCAACAACACCAGAGGCAACAACACCCAAGGCAACAACACCCGAAGCAAGCACGACGACTCCCGGCGTCACCATCACGTCAACAGAAGACGTTTTCACAAGTGAAGCCTGGGACGTGACCACAACACCATCCGAGCCGACCTCCACCTCTACAGCCTCTCCGTCCGATCTCGTTCCTAGTACCGCTTCTGCCGCTCCTTCTGCGGCGAGCTCGTCGGCTCCAGACGTTACCTCGACGACGAGCGAGGATACATCATATCTTTCTGTGCTGGTGGTGCGCATCACCGGTGTCACCCCGGCTGATATCCAAACCAGCACGTTGGTTACGGCTGTCGTTGATGCCGTGGGCACCATCTCTGGCACTGATGGCCTGGTGACATCTTCGGACGTTCAGCTGATGGATGTACGTGAGGGATCTGCCATCGTGACGTATGGCGTCGAGGCCAATGCACGCAGCGTGCGACGACTGACGTGTGCACTTTTGGAGCTCAGCGCTTCCAACGCCCTGTTGGATGAGTTGCAGCAACTCGAAGCCGAAACCTTTAACACATCGACTCTGACACGGTCCACGATGCTGCCCTGTCAATTGTGCGACACAAGCATCTGTGCACCAACGACAACGACAACCACCACACCCATGGGCCGGCTCAACACCATCGACCCCGAGGCAGCACGCGGAAACGGCGAAAGCGACAAAAGCGCGGACACGGCCACGTCTGTGGGTGTACCCATTGGTGTGGTGCTGGCCGTCCTGCTTTTGATTCTGCTCATTGCATTGTTCGTGCGCCGCCGTCGTGCGCCCGAGCAGCCATCGGGTGTGCCCACGCCTGTGTTGACAAGCAGCAACGGAGCCGCACTCGCCTACAGCAACCCTCTCTTTGCTGACGACAGTGGAGATGAGGAAAGCCAAACTGGCGTTGTTACGCCACCCAAGGAGCAGAGGACGCTCAACAACGGTGCTTATGTCACCATGCCGGGCGCAGGTTCGCGGCAACTGAACAACGGGGCTTACGATACCGTGTCGCCGCGCGGTGCCCCAATCTCCAACAACATGTATCAGACTGTGGTGGGTAATGCCGATCCTGAGTCGGGGTATATGCATGTGGAAGGCGTGGACGGCCCCGACTATGACACGATCGATTTTGATCACGCCTCATCCGAGGCCAATGCCAGTGGCTACCTTCAGGTCGATGCGCACCATGGTGGCGAGGCCTCGGCCTAATGAACCTTTGCCCTTGATCTCGATTGGGCATGTGCATGGGTACCTTTTCAACCGTTTATCTTGCTTGATTGTTAGTTTTATACCTTTTTTTTTTCTTGTTGTTCTTTTGGTTTTTGCTTGTTGGTGTTGTTCTTATCTATGTCTGGTTGAGCGTTGTTGTTGATCGATTTACCACCAACCAACTGTTTCATTTCTGTCCCGTTGTTGTGCCTGTGTTATCATACCTATCCCTCGACCCCGCCTTGCGCTTCCCCTCGCCCCCACACTTTGTGCTCTTCTTGTCTTGGCTGGTGGTGCGCTTATTGCTGTTGTTGTTGCTGTGCTGTTTTCAAGTGACCGTCCCCTCCCGTGTGTACAGACTGACTTGACTGACCGACGCAATTCATTCATGTGCCTGAAACTCCACAACATCTTGTCGTACATTGTCAGACAATCCAAAGTGTAGCTGGGTCAGAATGTAGTTGTAGCAACCACCCTGACCACTCGCCTCCACAGAACGAGCGAGAACCAACCAGGGGGTCAAGTTGTATGCCACTAGCCAGCCTGACCCCACCACCGCTGCGCTCCGAATGGCTTGGGAAGGGGGCGGAACACGGGGCGCATTTTTTCTTGCACTGTCAGTCGTTTTGAGTTTTTTCTTCGTTCTTCTTCACTAAAAACACCAGCAGGTATGTGATGTGGCGGTGCTGTGGCAGCGCACTGAATGCGTGGGTGCTGTTGTTGAAGGCGGGTTGAGATGGCTTGAATGCCCATTGTTTTGGAACAACAGTGCTTGTTTGCTCATGACTGCCGGTTTTTGGTTTGTTTGTTGTGTGCTGGTAGCATGTCTGAGGAGAAGCAGTTCAAGTGGCAGGTCAAGCCCGGAGGCACCGTCCCCGCCGACTCGTTCGAGATGCAGCACGCCAAGAGTATGTTAAGATGTTCCACCTCAACTTTCTGTTTCTCTGGCACTGTGCCGGCGCCTTGTGTTGGCATTTTGCTTGTCACTCATGGACTGGCTCTTTCTGTCACTATGTTTGTTTTTGTTTTGGTGACTTGCTTTGGATCAACTTGTTTCAGGCCAGCTCGGTGCCACGTCCCAGGCCAAGTCCCTGCAGATCAACAAAGGTGGTGAGGGTGCCCCTGCCGTCGATGCCGAGGCCTTTGCCGTCAAGTCGGCCATGAACGCCCCCCGTGCTGCCCAGGTCGTCAACGCTGTCGACAAGACTCAGGCCTCGCGCCACAATGCCAGCGGCTACTAAACGCCCGGCCCAGGACATGCAATTCAAACTCGGGTGGCTCTTTGATCTTGTTTTTTCTTTCGGATTTTGCAAGGAGTGACGGCCTTACTCACCGTAGCTGACTGTCTTTTGCGCCCGTGTCTTGTCGTCGAGTCCCATGTTCCTTTTTTTTTTTTCTCTGCTTTTTTTTGTGCGTATCATTCCATTCAACCTCGTCGAGCCCCATCGGCGAAATGACCCAATTTAACACGAAGCCTCCAACCCCAACATCTCTTGACCATCGGCCGCTCGAACTTGATCGGCGCCACATCCATTGACCACGAATTCATTCAATCCAGTGTAGAGAGGGGCGATGACTTTGTCAGCAGAAATGATTGTCAGATGTTTTGCAGAGAGAAGAGACCAAAGACACAGGTACAAGGAGAGGGAGAACATGAAATCGACCGTTTGATAGAGGTATTGTTGTTGGTCAGAGAGCGTATCATGGAAAATCGTAGAGGAATCAGAGATTGTCAAGGTTTTGTCATTCTACGCAGAGAGCAGGGTAAACCCATGCACAAATCCAGAGAAATGAGCAGAGCGAGAGAGTGTGTGTGTGAGGGGACATCGGTACCACACACGTGTAGTTGATTTCTCAGAGCAGCAGCAGGAGCAGCAGTTGCGGTCGTGGTCGTGGTCGTGGTCGCGGTCGCGGTCGTGGTGGTAGAGTTGACGGGCGGGTGCTTGTTGTGGAGGTGTACGGTTGTTGTTGACAGTTCCTGAGCTTGGGTTGGGTTGGGGTCGAGTGGCCTTTTGACCGGTGGTGGAGGGGCTGTGCGGCTTGTTCTGCCCCCGCCTTGTCAGGATGGCGACTGCAGCACCGTTTCGGTTCGGCGAGGCCGTCGAGGTGACAGACGACACGCTGGCTGCGACGCTCAAGCCGGTTGAACCCCTGACGGCAACACCAAAGTCAGCTTCCAAGGCCAAGAAGAGCCGTAAGAGCCCCGCCGTGGCAACCCCACAAGAGGTTGGACAGCCCGCGGAGGAGCCCATTCCAAGTCCCACAGAGAGCGAGAGTGAGCCGGAAGACCCTGAACCGGCTCCCACCGCCCGTGAGGTGCGAGCAGCAGCCAAGGCAGCCCGCGATGCTGCCCAGGCAGAGCGCACCGCCCGTACCATTTTTGTCGGCAATCTCCCAGCCACCGTCAAAGCCAAGGTGAGCCTAAGGACGGATGCCCAACGCAATGATTCATGATTGCCCAACGATGTTGTCCCCTCACCCCGGTCCGATCATCTTCAGGCGCTTAAAGAGCTGTTTGCCGACTGCGGCGAGATTGAATCGATCCGTCTACGCACCGTGGTACGCTGTTGCTGCCCGCTGGCCGTGTCTCCCGCCTATGCCGATCCTGCTTTGTATGTGTATGCCTCATCACTTGCCCGCCTCCAACCACCATCGTCATCTCCCTCTCAATCTCGATGTGTAGTCACTCCTGCAACACAAGGCCAACCGGGCCACCGCCGTCATGCAGTGCGTGCCCCTTGCGTGTGCTCTGATTGGCGAAATAAAAGGTTGCAACTGGGTCTGCCTGACTTTGTGCTCTGATGATGTCATTACCATCCTGCAGACGCAAGCGACTCGCCTCGGAGCAGAGCTCCATGAATGCCTACGTGGTATTTACGGCCGACGCTGCCGTGACACAAGCCCTCACCTTGTGCGTATCGTGAATAGCCTCTCTTTTGTCACCGTGGTGCACCGGTACTAGGTTCTCACCGGGGATGCCATTGGCCGACATTTGGACATTTAGCAACGGCGTTGAATTCCAAGGCCACCACCTCCGTGTCACGCGCGCAGAGACGAAAACCTTTGACCTGCATCGGTCCATCTTTGTTGGCAATCTTCCCTTTGGTGTGTTGCCATACATGTATCACCGAGTCGTGCCCATGCGCCTGTTGAATCGCATAACCGGGTGGTAGACCGACGCGGGGTCCTACTCCCTGACGCGGCACATCTTTTGCCTCACACAGATGCTTCGGAGGAGGAACTGCATGGGGCCTTTGATTCCTGTGGTACGGTGGAGGGCGTGCGCATCGTGCGCGACAAGAAATATGCCATCGGCAAGGGATTTGCTTACGTGCTCTTTGAGCTGGCCGAGAGTGTGGGCCTGGCGCTCATGAAGGAATGCCAGGTACGACAAGGGAGACACGCTCATCACTCGTCACACCGAAAAAACCAAAAAAAAACCAAAAAAAAAAAAAAAAAAAAAAAAAACACTGCATTGGTTCTTTCCAACATGCTTGCTCATTATGGCTGTGTGTGGTCGGGTAGGTACGCGGCCGCACGCTGCGCGTGTCGCGGTGCCGCGATGCCAACGTTATCCAGCGCCAAAAACTCAAAGCGGTGCGTTGCACACTGAACTGCTTTCAAATGGTGCTCACTTCAAAGAGTGCTCACACGATGCTTGCATGTGTAGCAAGGAAGCGGAGCACAGCGTCGCTTGGCTGGCAAGCCTGGAGCCAAGCGCCCCGTAGCGGCTGGAGCCACGACCTCGAGTAGCAGCGGGAATGGTGAGCGAGACAGCAAGCGTTCCAAGGGTGGACCACCAAGCAAGACTGGCCAAGGTTCTGGCAAGTCCAGTGGACGCGGCAGCTTCAAGGGCAAGAAGGGCAAGAAGGTGGAATTGGATCAGCGTGGCAAGAAGCCCCGCCACAAGCCACGTGGCGAGGCCCCTACCAAGACACCCCAGGCCTACGAGGGCGTGCGTGCCGATCCGGGCGTCAAGCCCAAGGTGCCTCGTGTCAAGGCTGTCAAGGGCCGCGCCAAGGGTGGTAAGAAGAAGCACTCGGTGAGCGAGATTGTGCAAAAGGCCAAGCGCGTCGCCAAGCGTGAAGCCGCGCCTCGCAAGCAATAAACCATGCCTTGATTCCCAACGCCACCTCGAGGTCGATTTTTGTTTCTCCGTGTTGTTCCTGTGCTTCAATCCCATGTCAAAAACGAATAACATGCGTCCAAGACAGAGCGTCCGAGTCGGCGCTTGGGAGCCAAGGAGAGAACATGAAGCAGACCAGCAAAGATCAAATGACACGACCGTGGTATCTGAAAGAGCGCACCGCTCCATAGAGAGAGAGAGAGAGAGAGAAAGCAAAAGCCATAGAAGGCAAGTGGCGAGTCCGAGCCCATCTTTTGTTTTTTCCCAAAAGAAAGTTTTTTGTTGTTGCGCTTGTGTGAACTACATCCCTCTCTTCTCTCTGTTCGTCTGCTCGCTCTCTGTCTCTCTTACTCGCTCTCTCTCTCTCTCTTTCTCTGTCTCTCTCTCTGTCTCTCTCTCTCTCTGCTCTGTCTCTCTCTCTCTCTCTGTCTCTCTCTGCTCTGTCTCTCTCTCTCTCTCTGTCTCTGCTCTGTCTCTCTCTCTCTCTGTCTCTCTCTGTGTCTCTCTCTGCTCTGTCTCTCTCTCTCTCTGTCTCTCTCTCTCTCTCTCTCTCTGCTCTGTCTCTCTCTCTCTCTGTCTCTCTCTGTCTCTCTCTCTCTCTCTCTGTCTCTCTCTGTCTCTCTCTCTGCTCTGTCTCTCTCTCTCTCTCTCTCTCATGTGGTAGTTGTGCTTTTCCTTTGTGTCTTTGCTCTTTATTTCTCTCTTTCTCAAACCGCCCAAACCTCTCTCTCTCTCTCTCTGTCCCTCTCTCTCTCTCACATTTCCGTCTACCAATTGTACCAAGTGTAAGGTTTCGCAAAACAATACCCCCCCCCCCACACACAAGCAAAATAATAAAAAGGGCAGCGTCAGGGTCACTGGCTTGAGGATGGCCGTCGTTTGAGCTGCCGCATCGCTGGCATTGTGCCACTGGGCAAATCACGTCAGCTGGCCTGTTGGGCTGCCAACCTTCTCTTTGAGGGATCTGGTCGACCAAGGCGAGGGGAGAACAACCCCGATTGGTCACCATCACGACCTCACTGACCCCCCAAAAGACTTTGCCTGGCTGGCAGCCCCGTCATTGCCGTGCCCATGGCTGATCTGTCTCCGCTGTCGCGATGCACATTGGCTCTGTAGGACTGTTGGCGCTGCGCTTTTGAAGCACGGCTTGCTTCGTTCTTCCCCGCCGATCTCGGTCTCGCAAGTTGCTAGCCTCGGTGGGCTCTTTTCCCTCCGGCCTCACCTCTGACCATGGCGGCTGCTGACGCCCCTCACTTTGTACGTGGCTTGTGACAAAGTGGCGGCAAAGCAGTTATCCCGCTCTTTCATTCAAAGCACTCGAGTCTCCGATCCTGTGCCCTTGCCCAAAAGCCATCTTCATCATTTTGATTCACCGTGCCCCTTGCTCCTGTTTTGGCCTCGACTCGATAGGACGTTGAGATTCTCGATGCCGACAACAATTGCTACTACCGCGTACGTAGGCGCGCTGCGCCCGCCCTCAATCACACGCCTGATGATCTGATATATTTTTTTTCTCCAGATGGATGAGCTGTGTCTTCCGTCTTCTTGTTTCATTTTGCTGCGTGGCCCAATTGTTTGCCCCTTACCTTGGTTGGCCCGATGCGGTACAACATTGTCTTGCAGGGAAAGATTGTGGATTATCTGGCTGATGGTGTGCGCGTCGCTTATGAAAATGAGTACGATTGCTATCTCCCGTCTTCCGGGTACACCCAAGCCTATATCCGCCTTGAAACCCCCTTATGTACCCTCTTCGCGTTGTCTTGCACCTCCCATCATCAGCGTGTATGCGACACAAAAAGTGCCCTTTAAGAATCTTCGCACTCCGACCCAGGCAGAGGCTGATTTCAAGCCCACCCTCGATGCGCCCGTGGATGTGAGTAGACAGCACTCGCCCCACTCGTACCGCAACCCGACCAGACATGCTTGGCCCACGCCCCAAAAGCAGAGACCTTCAGTCACCCAAGCGCCATGGCCATCTGCTCGTATTTCCATCTCAGGTCTTTCATCGATTTGGCAACAACGGCACCCCAGCTTGGTATCGAGGCAAGGTGGTCAAGGTACTGACTGAATGTATCAAGGTCAACTTTGAGGGGTGGGACTCCAGCCACGATGCTCTCATCGAACTGGACAAGATTCGCCCTGCCGCCACGGCCTCGTACGTTGTTTTGCCTTGTTTCCGTGCAGCTCTATCTCAACCCTCAATTTTTGCCCCCTGAAACACCCTCTTGTTGTACTCGCCCTGCCAAATGCTGCAGACTGGCCTTGGGTAACGATATCAAGGCCAAGGTGGAGCGCGTCAACAAAAAGCTGCTCCTCTTGTACGTCCTTTTGGTGTGCCCTTGCGCTTTGGCTTCAGTCTGCTGGTTCTCTAATCAATTAACCTTCACAGGATGTCAGATGTGGACATCAGCTCCTTCCAGCGTCATGCAACCCTGGTGGCCGTTGTTCCCAAGCCTGAGCAAGGCACCATCGTGCTTGTCGTAAGTACTCGGTACCTTTGATTTCCGTCTCTCTCTCTCTCTCTCTCTCTCTCTCTCTCTCTCTCTCTCTCTCTCTCTCTCTCTCTCTCTCTCTCTCTCTCTCTCTCTCTCTCTCCTCTCTCATCTTTTTTGTTTTTTTCTGGAATCCATTGTTTCCGTTGGTTTAAAAGAGCGACATCATTTGCCCTCTGCTATATGGACCTCATCCTTCTTTTTTCACAAATCTGGCAGGGCGATGACAAGGCACAGCAATTGGCCGCCATTCTGCTGCCCCAACTCAAGACGAAGGTGGGTTGAATCAACCAGCATCTGCTCGTACCTGGTATCTGCTGTCATTCTAATTCTGCCGAATTTGCAGATGGAGCGACAGCTCTCCTTCCGACAAGAACGAGAGCAGCTGGAAAGCCTGAAGGAGCAACGCAAGGCCCCAAAAACACACAAACAGCTTTTTCTCTTGAAGGACCTCGTGGGCCTGGCAATCGGCGCGGTATGCTTTTGCTCAAACCCCTGGCTAGCGACCGAGTTGTCGTGCGCCAATTATACATGGCTTCTACCTGCCCAAAGATCTTTTTGTCTCTCTTATTTGATGTCCATGTTTGATTAGGGTGGCTCAAACATTCTCACTGCCAAGCAAATCAAGGGCGTGCATGAAATCAGTGTCGCGCCCAAGCCTGATGACCAGGGTCGCGTCTGCATTGACATCTTTGGTCAAAGCGAAGAGGCATGCGAAGCCGCTGCCCAACAACTGGAATATGTCCACTTGGACATTATGTTTGACAAGTGCGTTTTTGACCACAGACTCTTCAATTGGCAGAAGACATGCGCTTCCCCATCAGTGCTCACGCCACCTCGACCGCACTCCCGTTGAATCTCACCAGGAGCCTGATGGGCGGCTTTATTGGTAAATCGGGTGAGAATATCCGTCGAATTGAAGAAAATTCTGGCATTGTTCGCGCGACGCTCTTTGAGCGAGGCGTGCGCTTTACCGGCCGCAAGGTTAGCCCATTGTGACCGTGTTCTGCGTGCAATTTTTTGTGCCCGTGCTGACCTGTGCGGGCCGATTCGTGGTGGGTGCGCTGCTGCCTACTCAATAGGAGGCGTGCGAGACGGCTCGCGTCATGGCTGAGTTCAGCCTGGAAGCATTGCGAAGCCAAATGGATGACTTGCGTGAGGTGCGCGAGCTACGCCGCGCACTGGGCGTGACTCGTGGCCGTGGCACCGGTCGTGGTGCGGGTCGTGGCAGCGGCCGTGGTGCGGGCCGTGGGCGCGATAATCATGATCGTAATGGTGCAGGCCCAGCTGTTGAGGCCGAAGCCCCCTCCCCTGAGGCTGATACGCCTCCAACACAAATGGGCGGTGAGCGCGGCCGAGGTCGTGGTCGTGGCCGCGGCCGCGGCCGCGGTCGTGGCCGCGAAGGCCGGGGCCAGTCAGCCGAAGGCGCCCCCGCCGACCCCGCACCAGCTCCTGCTGCGTCTGATGCCTCGACCAAGAGCGAAAAGCCCCGTAACAAGAAGAAGGGTGGCAATGGCGCCAAAGCCAGTGATGCCGAGGCCTCGGAAGACGCGCGCCGCGCTGCTCTGCCCGGTAGCGCCTCCAAGACAAGCAAGAATGACCGCCGCCGTCGCGAGCCCAAGAGTATGTTTGCAGTCATGATAGAGCAGCGGCCGTTAAACCCAGCAAGGATGGTGAGGGCTGTGCGCTTGAGAATGCTGGGCTGGCTGGTTCATCCCAAATTTGCTTGGTGTTTTTGCATAATATGCAGAGGATGTGACTGATGCAGCGGTAGATGGAGCAACGACCGCAGCTGCCGAGCCAAAGAAGGTTGATGCCGCCGTCGCTCCCAAAGAGCAGCGTCCACGTCGAGAGCGCCGAGACCAAAAGAAGAAGGCTGGACGCAAAGGTGACGCTTCATCGGCGGATTCGGCTCCAACTACCTTGCCAGACCCGACTGCCTCTAGTAATGCAGCAGCCTCTGGTGCAGCCGTCGACGCGACAAGCAATCCCAACCCTGCAGCTGATCCGGTTTCAGCAGCCCCAATCCCTGTGGTAGCTGAGCAGATGCCTGTGCCGGCTGCTGTTGTTCCAAGCAGCGGGAGCGAGGCTGTTTCCGCAGAGAAGGTTGAAGCATAGTGGTGGATCTACACATGGCTGACGCGCCCTTCTCTGTTGGCCACCCCATGTGTCACACGTCAGTGTAATTGACTATAATATCATATTATTATCATTGCAACATGATGGGTCGTTATAATACGCCGTGTCGTGCCAGTTGCCGTCACTCTGCAAGATGGGGAATAAATTTTTGCTCTTACTATGCATTCGTTACTGTAGTTGGGTTTGACACATTGACACAACAAAGACGTTTGGTTTTGGAAACACAACTGGTCGCGGCGCCTCAGTACATACAGGGAAACTCGGAAGGAGGCGTGGCATGAGGTGGCATGGAAATAGATAGAGATGGTGGATCGACAAGTAAAAAATTCAACATGGGCGCGGGTGGCTCAGACGGGAGAGACACCATCGAGGCGCTGCTGGAGGCGCGTTTTGACACCAATGCCAGCCGAAATCAGGGCGCTGATCGTGGAGGCACCCAAGTCAACCGATCGTCGGGGGTTGTCGCATGCTTGACGCCACAATTCATACGCTCGGATGGCACGGGCTACGCCTTGCCGACTGCCACAGAGATCCGCTTGGCATGCGGCGCCCAGCCCGTCGGAGAACGAACAGAGAGTGGACAAGGCGTCCTCAAGCACAACCAAGCGACCGCGCAGGGCCTCTGTGGACCCAGTGCCATTGCTTTCCTCCCGCGATAAGCGTCGAGCGATTGAGGACGAGGTCTGCATGGGTCGTGCCACAACCCCTGCCTCTGCGAACGAGTGGCGACGCGAGCGCTGGCCTAGGAGTGGTCCGGCGTTTTGATAGCGAGGCTCGGATAAGATGTCAGGCTCTTCCGTGTTGAGCTCGTCGTACAGGATGCGCACAAGGGTAAGGCCTTGCATACTGTGCAACGCTTCTTGCACCATGGCAGGCTGAATAGTTTTGGCAACCAGCCAGTTGTTGCACTGGAGCGCCAAGTCAAGGGGACGAAGGCCATCAAGATCGCGAACATGAGTTCGAGCGCCAGCGGCAACTAGCATGGCAGCCATCACGTGCCGCCCGTGCAATGCCGCTTCGTGCAACGCTGTACGGCCAAACTGAGGTTCTGCCTGGTCAGTTCGAGCACCGGCAGCAAGAAGCTGGCGAAGAATGACAACGTGACCCAAGCGCGCGGCGGCAGCCAGCGGCGTGGCACTTTCCATCAGGGCCCCAAAGAGGCCGACGCGGTCTGAATTGGCACCGCGGGCCAGCAGCAGACCAACCATGTCCGTGTGACCCCGTGAGATGGCCTCGAGAAGCGGGGTTCGTCCCAGCACGGCAGCAGATGGGGCATCAGGTAGCACGCCCGTGTTCAAGAGTAGCTCGGCGCAGCGGCGGTGGTTGCGAGCGGCTGCAGCCATGAGCAGCGCGTATGAGCGATCCTGCATTTCCTGCACCTTGCATTGATGTGGCATGATGCGGGGGTGTTCGAGGACGGCAATGACGGCGTCGCAGTGGCCCTGCTCGCAGAGCACGCCATAGATAATGGCCAAAACGTGGGGTATACGGCGGAGCAGGTCAACGAGTTCTGGATCCACCGCGAGCACGCGCAGTAACTGGCGAACGAGGTGAGCATCTGTCTGAGCTGTTTGGGCCAGAGCGCCAGCAAGGCCGTGGGCATGGGGAACGTCGGCACCCGCGCGCAAGAGGATGATAAGGGCAAAGAAATTGCAGGCGCTCATGGCGCGCGAGGCCATAATGTCCAACTCGCTGTCACGACAGGCTAATAGCTGCAAACCGACTTGATACGGATCGCCGTGATCAATGGCGCACTTTAACCGATTGTGCGCAGCGATGGCGTGCGCGCGCGCCACTGACTCTGGATGTGGGTTGTGTTTTGGCGCCTGTTGACAGCCAGGGTGGTTGGCAGGGGCGCGGCAGCAAGACCAAGTCCCATGGGATGGAGCCTCGGCAGACCGGAGCATGGCGTTGGCTTGTGGGGAGCATGCGGTGAGCGTTGCCGGTGGCGCGGGGCCGGCATCGAGCGTGATCTCGGCCAGGAGAGCCCCGGGATGAAACTTGCAGGTATCGACCTCACCAGAGCAGTGACGTCGCTGGCAGCGCTCACAGGCAACGGGGATGGCGGTCCAGTGGGTGGGGTAAGTGCACTTGGAGAAAGGAAGCTCTGCAGGGGCTTCGGGGGTGTCAATGACAAATTCGACCCAAATGTCGCCACGCAAGGCATGAGGTTTCTCGAGGGCACGTTCTGATGCGGGCCTGCTGACGCGATCCGGTTCGGTGGTGCTAGCTTTACGCAGACCAGCACCAGGAATACGATATTTGGTGTCTGGGGCCACGCTGTCGAGGGGAATGAGATGTTCAGTGCCATCGGGCAGGGGAAGGACGGTGGTGCAGCCATAGAGAGCGCCCCAGAGGGAGACCTTGGCCACAGCCAACAGGTCAGAGCCCTGGCAGGTGTAGATGGGGTGGGGGCGGAAGCAAATGTGCACGTGGTAGTCAAACTCATGACTGCCGTCCTCGACCACGTCGCCAGCGCCGCCAAAGGTGACGACGGTGCCGTGCTCCCAATGGGGCTGAACGTCGACGGTCAGCAGGATGGTTTCTTCGCGCCTGGGCCCATGCTTGGGTAGCACGGTGCGGGAGACGGAGACCTCCTTGACAGAGGGAAACAAGCGGTCTTCCAGGTCCAACCATAGCTCCGTCTTGCGGTGGCTGGCATCTACAGGATGATTCGCAGGCGGCGCCTGGCCAGGGCTGTTTTGGCTATCGCGACGTGTTGCAAGTGTGATGGGGGCCCCGCTGTCGTTGGCGGTGGGACTGGATTGGCTTTTGGGACTGGAAGGGGCCAATTTGGTTGGGCTGTCGGTAGTATGCGGCCGGCTAGACGGGGCGGGGCTATCTGCAAGGGCCGTGGTGGTTGATGCATCGATGGTGGTGATGTCTGGAGAGGGAACATCGCGCTCGCGGGGCGAGGGAGGGCTCTCCCGTGGAGCAGGGGCCTGTACAAACGAGGAGGAAGAGGAGGAAGTGGAGGAGGAGGAGGAAGAGACGCCAGATTGGGGTGAGGCTAGGGTTGTCTCGGCGGGGCCTGGGCGGAGCCAGGGATGTTGCTCAAAAAAGTCGTCCGCGTCAAAGAGGGGGCTGGTGTGAAGGAGTTGAATGGTGGTGTACTCGCGCTTATCGTAAACCAGGCGACGAACGGGGTGGCTGAGAATATCGTAAGCGCGCTTGAGGTGAAAGAAGCGGTCATCGTCTGCCTTGGGGTTGGCCCCCGCTTTGTCGGGATGGTGTGTGCGCGCTTCGCGCAGATATGCCTTGCGGAGCTCGCTGGCACTGGCATTGGGGTCCACACCAAGGAGCTGGTAGAGATCATGGTCGGCCATGCTCAAGGTCCCGCAATACCTCTTGCTGCTGCTTCTGGCGACCAAGCGGCAACGGCGAGCGTGGGCCTGTCTGTCGCCAGACACGGCCGCTTGAGGCGTGTCAGAGCACCCCTCTCAAGAAGAACGAGCTTGGCAGTGCCACCACGAATGAGGGGGTTCACAAGAAAAGAAAAAAGGCGAGGGATGGAAAGAGGATTTCAAGTGAGTCTCGGGCGAACAGAAACGGGCTCCGCATCGGGGGCCGGCCGTGGCCAGCGGGGAAGGGAGACCGAAGCAATCTTGCTTGATGAGTTGTCAGGGTAACTCACTCGCCCCGTGTCTACGACCGTCGTGCCTATCAAATCGCGCCAACACACGCAGTCAGACAACTGCAAACCAAAATCAAACGTGCCCCACGCCGTACCAAACACAATTGCATTTGCCACACCTCTGTACAGTCAACACTGCAATTGCCACTGCCGTCGCCGCCGCCGCTGTCGCCGCCGTCACTTGTGAGTTTGGATCGCGTCCGCTCTCTCTCTCTCTCTCTCTCTCTCTCTCTCTCTCTCTCTCTCTCTCTCTCTCTCTCTGTCTCTCTCTCTCTCGCTGTTGCGCGTCAACTGCGTGTGGGCATGACAAGAATGTTCCTCTAATCTAACATGTGGTGACAAAGTCCTACCTCTTGGAAATAAAGTTGAGCAGGGCGTTTGTATTTTGGAGAAGGCGATCCTTACTCTCTAATTTATACTTGTTGAAATCCGTTTTTTTTTTTTTTTTTTTTTTTTTTTTTTTTTAAGATCGGCAGTGGCGCCGACTGCCATGCGCCGCTGAATCTTGTGGAGCTTCAGGCGGCGTCGGTGATTTTCTTGACGACGCGCTGCGACGGTCCGCCACCCGTGGTGACGCGTCAGCTGACGCTGCCTGTTTTGGCGGCCCCGGCTGGCAATCCGCTGGTCTTTTATTTCGGGAACGACTGGGCTACGAGTTGTTACACGTTTTCCACGGGCACCAGCATCAAGCACTTGCTTCAGCAAACAGAAGATGGACAGCTTGGGGCGCTTGCCAAACAAGTTCTCGTGCCCGTGAAGGGTGCTGTCGGTGAACATCGAGCGCGTTTCTTTGCATCTCATCGACGAGCATACGACCTCCCCCACCAAGTCAGGGAAGCCCTGTCGGGAGACCTGGATGCTACGAGGACATTTTGTATCTCCATTGGTTCTCTTTTTCGGCCGGAGGAAACGCCGCATGGATGCAACGGCTTCTGGCGAAGGTGCTCAGCCCCACATGGACACTACAGGAGTTTAAGGACCACTCTCCTCACAAGGCCCCAGGAGATAAATCCACCGTTTTCACGCCCAGGCGAAAGGTGAGGGTACTCACACATGGAAGTGTTATGTTTCTTTTACTGGATCCAGGGACCATTTGACCCTCATTGGTCATTTGTTGCGCTGCGCTTTCAGTGAAGAAGCTGAATCAGCCAGTCGCCGCCAGCAGCATGATGGATGGTACGTTGCTGTGTAAAAACACCACCTCTGTCCTATTGTTTCAGATATATTGTTCTTGATCTAGGTGTTCTTCCGAACAACATGGTTTCACCGTGGGACCCTCCTCTCGTCATAGATGCAGCCACAATTACGGAGGAGGTGCAGGATGACGGCGCCCCGAAACCCAAGCGCGCGGCGCGAAAGCAAGGTATGTCATGGTCGGGCCTTGACTCGGGCTTGTAGTGGGACACACGCCTTGCCAAACTTCACATCCCTGGAACCTAGGCACTGCCTCAGCGGCCGCCGCTGCGCGCGCTACTGCAAGCCAAGAGACTGCCGCCACTGCAAGCGAGGAGGCTGTCGCCGTCGCCGAGCAAGGTATGTGCCGGACGGAGATATCTGTACTGATGTGGATTTTCATCCTCACGCGAAGCTGTCGTCTGGGCCGTAGAACTGTCGAGGGCAAGCATCACCGACGCGCAAATGAAACAAGAGGCGCAGGAAGCGGACAAGCAAGACGAGGGAGACATGGAAGAGGAAGCATTTGATGAGGATGACCAAGGTCTGTCTTGCAGCCTTGCAGTTCCTTCGCCCACGCGGTACTCATGGCATCATGTCGCATGGCGTGACGGCAGACACAGCGTGCTCTGAGAAGCTTGCGGCCGTGGACGCCGCGCAGCGCGACGTGACGCCCGATGACCTGCAGAACGCGGTGAAGCACGCCTGCGCATTTGGTGTTCCCAATGAAGGCCTGCTGGTCGCCTTCAACATTGACCACTGTCCTGACACCACACACCGAGCTGCTCGGGGAGCCAAGTTTTTCTTTGATGACGACGCCCGGAAACTTTTCATCTCCAAATCAAGTGACTCTGCACACGACGCGGGGACCCGAGCTGCCGCCAAGCAGGTCGAGCAGTACGCCGGAGCCTACAATGCACTCCTGGACCTGGATCGCTTGCTGATGAAGCAGGACACCAACTTACGCCGCTTGAATGGCGACGCTCCAGACGTCGCGCTCGCTGTCCGGACGAACGGGTCGGATCTGCTGCCTTTTGTGATTATCGAGGTCGAGGTTGGCAACCGCGACGTTCTCAGAAGTCGCCAGCAAGGTGCCAAACTTTTCCAGCGCTACAAGACGTTGCGTGGTCTGCTCATCATTTCGTTTCCAGAGGATTATAGTCTGGACCCGGCCAAGTTGAAAAACGTGCAAGCGACAGCGGTCTACTACTCACGCGCCGCCGATGGCCCCGCTAGCGAAGTACAGCCTAGCGCCGCCCATGACCTCGGAACCGTGCCTGCCAGCTGGGTTAAGTGGACGAGCGCCATGGAAGGCGATTGTCTCCCCCCTGTGCCGCCCGGGAGCGTGGAGACGCTTCTGGGCACGTCAAGCGTGGAGCGAGGACTGACTCAGTTGCGACATGACAGGCGCGTCAAAGTGGAGGTACCCGGTGCAGTCATCGACCTGCGCGCTGAAGAGCTGGCAAGCGTTCTCAGCGGTGTGACGAATGACATCCACACCAAGGCGCGCCAGGACTTGGTGATCGACGTGACCACCATTGTTGAAAGCGTGTACCCCGAGCTGATGCAGAACATCTACGAACTGGGACAAGTTTGGACGCACATCCAGACGATGCAATCGGCGGTGGACGGGGTGCCGGATGGACGACGCACCGTTACCACCGTCACACAACGCAGGATGGAGACTTGCAGCTTCAAGGCAGCATTTGCCTTTGAACAGGCGTACGGGGAGTTCTGCGGTTGGGCACGCAGTGTGGGCCGAGACGTTCGATCCTTGGCACCACGTGGTCCCAAGGACAAGATGCAGGACGATCGCACACCTGACGAGCGCCAAGAAGCTGTTGACGCTTTCTGCGCGGTTGCCAACGACCGATAGCTGGTTCAATTGACCTCAAGACACCATCACAACTTTCGCTCCGTCCCGACGGACGTCTCTCAAACCTCTCTCAAAACGCTTCCTCAAACCTACGCGCTTCCTCGCAACCCAAAACCAGCCTCCAGACGTCTTGGAGCCTGACACTAACTGCCCAGCCAACCACGCCATCGTTGAGGACGTACGCCAGCTCAAGACGCAAGCACCAGGCTCAGCTGCCTACATCCAACTGTCACAGCGCATCAACGCAAAGAACTGCAAGCAAGAGTGCTTGATCACCCTTCTCACCAACAAGCACCAACAAGCAGACCGGCTCAGCGGACATCCTCAACATCAGAGTCTCAAGTGAACGGGGCCTACCCAACGATCAGTTCCAAAGCATCCTTCAACACAAGACCAACACCACGCGCTGGACACCAGGATGCTCCAACTCAGCGAACTCATGCCCACTCTGCAGAGAAATCCACCCATCGCGCTACACCAAGCTGACACTCGCCCACGCAGCAGTCTGCCCAAGCCTGCATGGCAAATCAAAAACCAGCGTCATTCGGCCATCACCAACGCACTCGCCCAAAAGCTCGCATCTTCTGGCTTTTCCGTCGCCGTTGAACCGCCATACAATGGCACTCTCGCTGGCCAACAACGACTGGACTTGACCTTCCAACACCCAGATGAATCACGCCGCACAGGAGCCGATGTCACCACCACCACCGTACAGAGCGAGGACTGCGCTGCCATTCTAAGAGACACCGTTGCCAGACCCGTCCAACGGGCTGAGAGAGTCAAACGCACGAAGTACGAGACCCAACTCAAGGCCCGAGGCATGGACTTCATCCCACTTGCAACCACAAGCAACGGTGGCCTGTCAGATGCCTTCCTCCTGCTGATCAAACAAGCATCTCGAAGACGAGCTCGCCGTCACCATCCAGATGAAGGCTACAGCCCCACGCACTTCGCCCTCCAGCTACGCCGATGCATTGCAGTTGCCATTGCCACAAGCACTGCCTGCTACATCAACGCAATCCTAGACCGAACCGATCCGGCTGTGTCGGCCTGGGATAGCGTTCGCTGCATCCGCATCTAGGCGTCTCCCCAACATCTGAGCAACCTGGCACCGGCACTCGACTACAATTACATCAAAGACCATGCCCACCAGCTTGGCATCAGCTGAGCCTCAGCCACCACCACACTTTGCCTTGCAGCATCCCTTGCGCCGCGCGGCTGTCTTATCATCTCTTTGTACCGTTTTCTTTCCACACCATTACTGATCTGGCTAGATCACACCGTCTGCTGCATTCAGTCCGTCTGGTGTTTCTCGGTGTCAGTCAGTCTGTCTTTTGTTTATCTGTCATCATGTGCTGTCATTTTGGTCTGTTCATCTGTCAATTCATATACATAAACACTAGAGTACGAGCAGTATTTCATGTAGTTGCCCAATATGCCTGGCGAGGCTTCTATTTCAGTGCCTGTGGCCTTCTGTCTATCAATTAAATCAAAACAAGATTGTCAACAGCTGCACAATCACAACATCAACCACTGCTTGATTCGACCATACATCGCCATCATTTTGACCCAGACAGCTACAGACGGACACATGTTCACGCACGCACGCAACAGACATTAGAGCTCCTGCATCGCTCGACCGCTGTGGGCGCCAAGGATCATGGGATGGTTTTCGTATCTTGCCGCGAGCATGCGCAAAGGGTCCATATCGCTATTGGCTTGCTTCTCGAGATGAAGGTGGGCATCCACAGCAAACGCGGCAAACGCCAATGTGGTTTCCAAATCCAAAGATGGCGCCAGCTCTTCCATCGTGACGTAGCTCTTGGATCGAAAGAAATTCGACTTCTGCACGGTTTTGAAAATGCGATCGTTTTGGAGCTTGAAATCCATTTTGAACAGGCCAAAGTTGTACGCAAAAGTAGTGCCGGCTGGGCCGGTCGACCAGCGCAAGATCATCATATGCAAGGATCCATCTGGAGAATTGAAAACAAAATCTTGATCCCGGATGGAACCCTCGAAGTGAGTCATCGTGAGCTCGATGGCGCGTGTGAAAGCTTCATGCAGGCTTGCATCAGGGACTTTGGCTTCAATGCTGGCTTTCAGGGACTCGACAGCGCTGATTCGATCTCCAGTGACGCCGTGTTGGAAATGAGATGCGTATTTAAGCTGGCGCATTTGGTCTTTGGCGCGCTCGTGACGGTCGATCTTGGTTGTTGACGTCGAATGCACAAGCTTGTGAATCGCCTCCAGACCCGGTTGTCCAAGACTAGCCATGTAATCAATGATATCTCCGTTTCCACCAAGCTTACTTGCTGCTTTTGCTTTCGTCGATTGATCAACTGAGGAGCTTTTGGCAAAGGCCATTGGCATCATCAATGCAAGCGCCAAGAGCCAAGCTAGTTTGAAACCTTTGTCCATGGCTGATCAGCGCCAGACCCAATGCTCAAATGGCTGTTAAAATGAAGTTCGGCCACTACTCTGATCTCACACACAATGCATTTGTTCTCATGTGCTGTAGCATTTCATTTATCTCACTCGAGAACGCACATGTATCTTACCGGAGTACAAGTGACTCGAGAAATAGGTTGAAGACATTTCGGCAACAGAACGCACATGTATCTTACCGGAGTACATGACATTGTACAAAATTGGTTGAAGAACTCCATGTCATGACGCTCATTCCTGCACAATTCAGCAACAGAAGGATACGTATCTTACCGCAGTACAAGTTACTCGATTGGTTCAATAACACCTGCACATTTCGGAGTACAAGTTACTCGATCGAGAAATTGGTTGAAGAGCTCCATCTCATGACGCTCATTCTTCATTTACACCTGCACCACATTTCAGCGACACAAGGATACGAAAATGAGCGCTTTTACCTTTGCACTGTCCTGCCTCAGCTTTGCTTCTTTGGCTTACGGAGCCTGGCATGATCATGCCATCATCAGCAGTAACGCACAGATGGACCTAATGACCCTTCGCTCTCAGGCTGAAAATTCGGCGCGAGTGGCCACAGAGATCGCAACTTTCAACAGCAAGCCATCTCCACAAGAAATCAGCAATCGTCTGGATGATCTCCTTCGCAAAAGCAACGCACAGCATATTTCTGATGATACTAAGAAACAGATAGCAGCAAGCATTGCCAGCCACTTCAGCTATTCGTCCAAGATCGAGACCTTTACCCTGAGGGAGAATCAACAAGAAGGCCGTCTGGACGTTCTCAGTGTTGCTTCAATCCACAACGGAAATCAAGTTGACGTCGCTTGCGTTGTGCAATCAGTTTCGGCAAGCCTTCCGCCGCTCATTACGCATCGTCGCTGGAACGGCTACCGGAGAAAGTGCAAGTTGGGGTTCTGCAGCAACAAATGGTAAGAACACAGGTCCATTGTTGAGCTACACAGTTCATGTCTCATGTTCCTGCTTTCTAGGGGTGAACGACATGAGAATGTGCCACGCGGCCTGCTGTCTGAGGAGAGCACTCTGCTGCTAGGCGTCCTCCGCGACCGTGCAAGTGCTGACCTCGACCAGAAGTTGCAAGCTATCGGCATGCTCTGATTGTCCGGCTTGCTGTGTGTAACGAATGGATTTGCGACGTTCATGTGCATTTGTTTGTGTAAGCGTCAAAGAGCAGCTTCTTCGGGCAAAAAAGTCTGGTCACTGTGAATGCTTGCCGACCGCAGCTGGTTCAATTGACCTCAAGACACCATCAAAGCTTTCGCTCCGTCCCGACGGACGTCTCTCAAACCTCTCTCAAAAACGCTTCCTCAAACCTACGCGCTTCCTCGCAACCCAAAACCGGCCTCCAGACGTCCTGGAGCCTGACAAGTACTTTAGAGAAGAAGGGAGTAGAACTGCACAGAGAGTCGTCGACGAGCAGGACAAAGCAGACACCCGCCTCAAACTGTTCAAAGACACTTGAAGTCCAACGGGGCAACGGACAGTTTGAGTGGCGAACCAGCCCAGCAATCACCGAGTCATCCCCCAAATGCGCCCAGCGACCAGCACAGCGACCAGCCCCTAAGCCCCGAAACGCAAGAAGTTCAAAATCATGACTGCATTCGCAAACACATTAATTGTGTGTCATTAGTTACACTTTTCTTCTTTAGCCCCTCAGCACAAATTTGTATCTCATTCATTTATCGTGATATGTCCAACCTTGCTACTAAGCGTGTCAGTATCTACACTATTATCGATTATAGTGTGACTGTCGTCACAGTTTAATATCTACTATTGGAGCACATGCGCGTGGTGTGCACAAAAGAAACAGAGAGATACCCTTGGCCAGCGAGCATCTCAGAGAAAAGTACGGTTTGGGTATCTATGGTCAAGGAAAAAGCAATCTAAATGCAGAGAATAGTACAATCTGGTACTCGCTCTCAGAGGTTCAACCCCACTTCCACATCGTCCTCCTGAAAAATCTTCAAACACACTCACACACACACACACACACACACACACACACACACACACACACACACACACACACACACACATTTCCTTTCAAGAGGTAACACACACACACACACATGCGCGCGCCGTCACAGAGAGAAGAAACGGCAGCGCCTGTTGGCTGTGTGATCATCTTCTCACTGGTCTTGGCTTGATGATGATGGTGTTGTCTGATGTACCACACGCACACGTCTCGAGGAACAAACGGCAGTGGTGCCGCTGTTTCTAATTTTGACAGTCAAAAGGGGCGGAAAGTGAGATCACTGACTGCACACAGAGAGAGAGAGAGAGAGATTTGTTGTGGCGCTTGAACGGCCTTTGTTGTGCCCTTGTAAAAAGGGCAGCGCCTTGGCGTTGGTGTAGCATTAACCATCCCGTATGCATGGAGTGATCTTGGGGTGTATGTGTGTTGCGCTGGTCTTTGGTCGCCGCCTTTTTTGGTTTTTCCGGGGGTCGATCGCGGCGCTCGCGTCGACATGGTCCACATGCATCTTCAAACACACAATTTGTGCACTGCTTCTCCTCCTCCTCCTCCTCCTTGTTGGCTGCTGACGCTGTTCATCAATAGCTCATTTCTGTTCCTCCGTGCCCCCCTCCCCCTTTTTTTTTTGGTTCGCAAATCACCTTTGGCTAGACGAACCAGCACCATGCCTTCCAACACGAACAACCTCAGCACCAGCCTGCACGATGCCGCGGACGAGATCCCCCCCGGTGACTACAGTACGTCGCCACCTCACCCCGCTTCAACGCAATGCCCACGAACGACTCGAGGGCCCCTGGTCTCACCCTTGCTCACCCTTGTCTTCTTTGGTCCCTCTCTGAATCTGCTTCAACCAAATTGCAGAGAAGGTTGCGGCGTTTTACTTTTGCTTCAACGCCGGTCTTGTCTGCTTCTTCGCCATCTGCTACTCTGTCATGTTCGCCTCGCTCCCCGGCAACCGCTCTGGCCCCAAGACCCAGTTTGTCGTCGGCCACGGTGTCTTCCTGAGCGACGCCACCGTCGAGATCACTTACTCTCCCGATAGTGACACCTTCAACGAGAACCTGCTTAAGAACTACGAGGAGCGTGTTGCCCGCTTCCTCAACCGCTCCGTCGACAACGACCTCGGCAAGCTGAACGTTGATGTCTCCACCCTTGGCCCCTGCTCCGATTACGCTACCGTCATGGCTGCCGCTCGCAACTTTGAGTACTTCTGCGTCTACGCCAAGTTGAACCGCATCTACGGCTTTGTTCCCTCTCAAGACATTGCCACCTCCGTCGTCCTCGAGTTCCCTCCCGCTGAGCGCTTCCAGAGCGAGTACGAAGTGGCCTTTGAAGACTTTGCCACTACTTACCCCTCCACTCTGCCGGCGTCGATGTTGCCCTTCCTCAACCGCTATCCCTGGTCCGACGATGTTGCCACCACCGCTCAGCCCGTCCCCTACGTGGACCCCGCCTTTGCCATTGTCCTGAACACCTCCATGGTGGATGTCGCCAAGTTCAGCGAGTACAACCTCAAGCTCCGCTACGGTGCTCAGTTTGACTACGGTCAATCTCTCCAGGACGAGGGTGAAGGTTATGCCAAGGGTGATTACGAGATTCGTGCCGAGCTCTAAGTCAAGATGCCAAGGCGTTGAACCCTTCTCCCACCTTTCTTGCCAGCACTCCCCCACACTCCGGATCGCGACACTTGGCGCTCCCTCTTTTCCCTTTGCCTCTTCTTATTTCAAGACTTTCCCCGGCCTCGTCGTTGGTGGCCTGTGAAAACAATTTACTTAGGTTTCGGGCTTGTGTTAGAGCTACCCCGCTTTCTCATCTGCTTGCCTTCGGTGCTGCTTTTTAAGAATCGGTGGGCCTACTTTACCACCTCAATTGATTTTGGTTGCCATTTCTGCCCCTACCTCGTCAAAAAAAAAAAAAGGAAAGAAGGAAAGAAAGAAAATGCAAATCACACACTCGAGTGCTCTCAGCAACCAGTCAAGTCAGCCAAACACATGCATTCTGCACATGCACAGACCCGACACAATCATCAGGTGAAAGCAAAAAGCATGCAAACCTACAGTGGATTGCATTACAGCATCTCCATGTCATCGTCCGTCTCATCTGATGCGGATCCTCCTCCATCTGACAAAGCTGCCTGAACGGCGGGGGGCGGCGGCGGTGGTGGCGGCGGTGATGCATTGGAGATTGGCTCTACAGACAAACTGGCTGGTGCCCCATAGTTGCCCATGGCGAGCTCATTGACCTCGTTCTCGCCTCCCTCGCCCACGTGCTGTGCCAAACTGGACAAGATTTGAGAAAAGTCCAGCGGCACGTCTGCATCCATCGGCAGCTCCATCATCTGCAAAGGATCGGCTGCTTCTGGTAGCAACAAAACATCTGTTGCCGCAACGGCTTGTCCAGCAGGCTGACCGGGGGACTCTTGTCCTACCTCTGGTCGTATCGCATCCGTTGATACACCAATGGAAGCACGTGGCACCACTGTTGGCGCCTGCAAGGTATCCACCAAACTCAAGACGTGATCCGATGGCAGCAAAGCCGACGTAAAGTCCACCTCCTCGCGCTTCACATTCGTGCCAGCGTGGCTTGCTGCAGCGCCCTCCTGGTCTTGGCGGGGGGCTGCACTGAGGTGTGGCAGGGCCCCCGCCCCATCCTGAGCTTGGGCAGCTTCCTCAGCAGCAGCAGCAACAGCATCAGCAGCAGCGCCAACAGCAGCAGCAGCAGCGCCGCCACCATCGTCGCCACCAAAGGTTTGAAGGCCCAGCTCCAAGCCCGTGAGGGAGACGTCATCTCCATCATCATCGTCATCCCGACCCAGCACCAACGCCGGAGTAATGGGCCGCCACTCGGGCTGCACCAAGTCCGAAATGTAATCCAACGTCCCCGTATCCTCCCACTCCCGCACAGACATCGATGAGGTCGGGGCATCGTCTTCAAACGGCTTGCCGTGCAATGGTACTGGTTCTCCGTCATTCACACTCACGGCCGGTGCTTTTGGTGGCTTGCGCGCAATAAACTTCAGCTCTCGGGCCAGTTGCAGCTTGGGGTCAGATCGCCGGCGCCGGCGCTCATCGGCCTCCTCCGCCGCACTGCGAGCCACTACCTGCAAGCTGCGGGTGGATTGCTGTTTGGCCGCCAACTGCCGCATGATGCCCGGTGCACGATAACCCAGCTTGAGGCGCGCACGCTCAAGATACATAAGAACAACCACGATCGCCACTAGCACCCAAAGCACCACCAGTGCTACGATCGAGCCAGTCCCGGTTTGCGTGCATTCAGTGCTAGAGGCACTTGAGGTGTCGTCTGGATTTGGCGTTGTGGTCGCTGCACTGTAAATGCGTGCACCCTCAACCAGAGCCAACGACGACCAAGACCAGTTAAGGAGCGGCTTTGCAGGCGAGTAACCCACGGTCACGCGTATGATCGTGTCCCGGGCGCCGTTTGCTTCGACCAGATTGCTTGATAGACCGCCTGCGTTGGCCTCCATGCTGGCCAAAAGCTCATCGAGTGGGACGGCCAAGGCACAAGGTATCCAGGAGGACGTTGCTGCGGCGACGTTGTCCAGGATTGGTTGCGCCATGCATTCTTGCCACGGGGCCGAGTGACACGTCACACAGTCATTGCACCCAGCACGGGCTGTTGCTGATGAACAACAACTAGCCCGCGGCGACGCCCACGCTTCAAGGCGACAAACGCAGCTTGCGCATGTGTGGCGCAGCGGTGCTGAAGCGTTAAATGCAAAAGCATACCCATGCAGCGAAGGCCGCGCTACCCACTGCACTGCGCCGCGGTTCATGTCATCCGACGGTGCTGGAAGTTGCAACGCTACTGCAGGCGCAGCTGTCAGCCACGCTCGCAGATTGCCACCGCCTGTCGGCGTCACCAAGTAGCGACCCGCGTCCAAGGCTGTGCAGTAACCCCCTTCACACGCCACTGCAGCGTCCGCCGGCACCGCTTGGACCTCAAACGTCCCGTTGGCCCAAGGCCGAAACGTCAGACGCGGCTCTAGCGTCCCCACGACCCAAGAGTGCGTGTAAACCAGACTACGGCCAGTACTATCCTGAACCACAAGTTGAAACACGTGCGCACCGCGCTGAAGGCTATCCAACACAAGCGTTGCCGAAAGGCTGGCAAGGGCAACCCCCCCCAAGCTGGCACAGGCCGCCAGGGTACCAGCGTCGAGCGTGCACGACACGTTAATGGCTTCGATCCGCTCAGCAGCGAAGCAGGGACCACCCTCGTTCACAAACGCCAATTCTAGGATTTGGACGCTACCCTCACTCATTGTGGCCAGAGACACCACGGGCGGCGTGCGCTGCTGACAGAAGGAAACCACCGTGTTGGCTACCACCGAGCCTGATCCAGTTGCCAAGCTCGTCACCAACAGCTGGTGCCACCCGTCCAAGAGTGTTGACCAAACTAGTTGCCCCGTCCCCACAGCTGCGTCCCGCGAACTGACCGAAGAAGCTTCGGAACACGGGCGCAGCGTGGCGCCATCCAGTGCGCACATTGTTTCGTAGGCACTGTCAACTGACTCGCCATTATCCGTCAACAAAAACGCGGGGTCTGCACCAAAGAACACCAGTGTCGTGTTGGTGCCCGCTTCTTCTGACGAAAGCTTAAGACCCCCTTGCGCCTCGGCAGACACGCGCAGCGGGACGTCTTGAACCTCAATCAATAAAGGAAAGGTGAGGCTTTCGCGCAAGGCGACATCTTCGCATGTGACTCGCAGCGCCCAAGCCACGGTGGATTCGTAGTCAAGAGATGCAGACAAGAGCAAGTCTGTACCAAGCACACTCCATGGTAGTGTCGAGCCAACCACGTCCTCAAATGCATCGCAACCCGAGCTGGACGGCGATGTTTGGGCAGCGTACCCGGTGAGAGTACACGTCGAGACGCTCGCCGCATCGAGGGTGGTGAGCAGGGGATAACGGGTGCCCACACCAGCGTCCTCCGGCACTGAATGCCTTAGAAACGGACACGTTTCCAAAACGCCGAGCGTGTCTGATAGGGTACCACAGCCGCTGGAACATGTACATGGTCCTGCAGACGCGGATGTGTTGAGCGTGGTCAACTCTGAGGTTGTGCATTGTGCCAGGACGTCATTGCCCAGCGTGGCTGCGTTGGCACAGCCGGCCGCGTCCAGTGTCGTGACGGCTTGCTGGCACCGGGTGCTCCGGCTCGAGGCAAGAAGAAGGCACGACGTCGCTTGGGCTAATTGCGTGCGCGTGGGTGCCGTGGCACAGCTGAAGACGCTCGTGTTGGCACCTGGGTAGATGCCAAACACCAGGTGGCCTGTCAAATTCAAAGCTGGTGCTTGATCGTTGGTGATTTGCAGGGCAAAGGGTGTTGCGGGCTCGGCCATATTCCAGCGCTGAGCGTTTGCGGTATTTTGCAGCGTCACCGTCCACACCCCACTCGTGGAAGTGGGCTCAGTCGACACGGAAAGGTCCGTGCCTGCCGTGACTTGAGCAGCTATTGCCATCGACAATGGCTGGCAAAACGTGGTCGCAGCCAGCATAGCAGGGTCCAGATCAAAGCCCACCGTCCACTCGGCCAGGGTGGCCAACGGTGCAGTGCGAGCGGGCGGTGCGAGAATGCGCACATCAGCTTGTTGCAGCCATGTAGACGAATGTACCAGCTTGGGTGCAGGTGAACACAAGGGGCGAGAAACCTGAACCACACGCCTCTGACCAGCTCGAACAGAGCTCATAGTGATCCTTACGGCCCAGGCAATGTCGACGTCCACGTGCCAATCCGTCCCCTCTGGCGGAACTCCCACCACCACCACATGCCCCGTGCTCACATTGACGGCAAGGCTTACATTAATAGCACTTTGGCTAGCACCAAAAGCCACAGCACTCCAGTGCGCATCCGTGGGGAGTGGAGGCAAAGGGTATTCGTACGACCGCGTAACCACAGATCGTCCAACCACCAGCTGTGATGGATCAAGAATTGTCGTTTCGTTGATGGGCACAAAGACCGGCTCGTCGAGGAATGGGATGCATTCGGCCGCGTCCGAGCCCCCGCGACAGAGCTGACAGCCCCACAAATCGGCCGCGCTCAGGCGCATGATGGGCAGGCTCGGGGCGCGGATTGGTACCAACGCTTGGGTCAGTTTATCAGGACACTGCAACAGCAACGAACTTTGTGACATGCCTTGCTCACTGGAGGCGGGAGGCCAATATTGCTCAACAAAGAGAGCATTGGAAACAGGCGCATAGTTCCAGACCACCCCAGCGCTCAAGTCAGGAAAGGATGTGACTCGAGCCCACTCGGGTTCGAGCGCTTGCACTGCTGCTCGCCAGCGCAGCGGTAGTGTCACGTTCATGCCGTCCACTAAACATGAGAAACCAACTGGGCGTTCCCCTGCACTGGTGCCTGCGCGCCAAGCAAAGCGAGCTGTCTGCTTGACGGTGTGCACCGTGTCAGCGGACGCTGCATCAAAGGACGTCTGGCGAGTGACCAGGCTAAGCAGCGAGGCGTTGGCGCACATCAGCGTATCTGGCGTGGAAATAATAGCCGTGTCGTGCGGGCGCACCAGTTCCAGAACGGCCTGCCATGATGTCACACTTGTTAAGAAGCTTGGAGAAGATATGCGCGCCACAATCATTAGGCCCTCCGCTGCAAATCGAGAATAGCCGAGGGCGGGCGCAACAGTCATGCTGGACGCATCACTGGCTTGCGCTCGCATGCTGTCCGGGTCGGTCGGACTGGCATTGCGGCCGAGCGTTGCGCCAATAAGCAGGTGCAATGGGACCTGACTCCTTGAGGATGGGGGCAGATCAGTGTCGTCCACGGCCAGTCGAACTAAAGACGTCGACAGGTTGTAACCGTGCACTCTATCGAGGTAGAAGGTGACATCCTCGCCTACAGCCGGGGCCCAAACGCCATTGAGTGACCAGGCCCCGGCCTGATCCGAAACTTGAAGGTAGCATGGTTGCGTAGCACAAGTGGCGGTGGGTAAGCCAGTGTCCCACAACACAGTGTATTGGTTGGCAGCATCCCCAGCCAACTCTCCCACTAGCTCTCCATCCACGCTGAGAAGCAGAGAGGCGGCAGTACTCGTTGTAGATAGACCCAAGAGGCGAACCACAAGACCATCGTGGAAGAAGGCGCCCTGTAAAATGCATCCTGTTGCAAAGGGCGAGCGTGCCGATGTCAACCGAAGAACGATGCTAACGATTGGAACGGGTCTGCCAGGGATGTGCATACGCGGGTACCACGAGGGTACGACGGCGTTTGGATGCATAAAATTTGCCTGTGCATCCATGGCATCCCAGCGCTCTACGCCACCTAGGCCATCGATGCGGACGGACCCTGCCTCGTCCCAAGAGTGTGTCGGTATAAATTGCCAGTGGGGTCGGATCAGATCAGGCGGTGCCCCGAGGCCAAGACGAGCGGCCAGATCTGGCACGCGGGCAAAGCAAGAGGCATTGGGAAGAGGACAGGTGTTGTTGCCACTGTCGCAGATGAGCGGTGTGCCGTCCCAGGTGGGAGCCAGCTCGGCGATGGACTGCGTGCCAAATCCGTACAGATGCGTTGCGCCAACCAAGAGCCAACCTCGTGGGGCAAGTGGGGCAACAGCGAGCAGCGGCTTGGGGAGCGCCGCAACATTTACGGTGGTCATGGCAGTCGAGAGGGCCACTAATTGACCGTTGGCACGCAACGCCACGTCAAAACCACAGCCACTGGCACCGTGACCGTCACCGCCATTGTCAGCAGCTGGACAAATTGACCTGACCATCGAAATGTTGATATGAATGCTGGAGGTAGGGAGAGTAGTCAGGAAGATAGTGCGAGTGATTGTGCCCGTGTCAGTCTGCAGTGCCACCTCGAGGCGTGTACCCAGCAATCCCAGAGACTGAGCGGGAAGAATGGTCAGCCGCAAGCCACCCTCGACCAGATTGCCTAGCCAGGCCAGGCCAACACTCGGGGTGGTGGTGTCAGCACCAGTGCCACTGGCGCGGGGCAGATGTAAAGTGAGCAGGTCCTGCCAGAGAGTGGCACGCAGCAAATGGCCGAGGAAAACAGCTGGACCTATGGCACCGTTGGACCATCGCAGCGCTCCCCAAATAGGGCCGGCGTAGTCCGTAGAGAGCGAAGGCAGTGTCGCACGAGCTGTGGTGGCGGTCATGGCGGTGACCATGACCTGGCGAGTGGTGTCAGTGTCATCCGCAATCAGGTAGGCGGAGGTGTTGGTGAGAAGCACGAGAGAGGCTTGGAGGTCAGCGTCGGCCCCGCGGGCAAAGTTTCCAGTCAGCCAGACTGTGGCCTCACCCTGAGCGAGTTGAGCTTGAGTCCAGCGTTGAGGCATGGGCGCTGCCTCGAGAGTAACGGGCCAGGACCAGTTGGCTGCCCACAGAATATTGGACACTGCGCAGCTTGATTGCAGCTGAAGCAGCAGCTGATTGAAGGGGACAGAGGAGGATGGTACATTGAGGCTCACTGCTGCGAGCGTTGCATTGACGACAGTGGTGTGGCAGGGCAAAGCTTCGCCAGCGTCGGTGGTGCAGAGCAGGAGCAGGTCGCCACAGGAGGCAGCCTCGATGAATCCCGAGCCGGTCAGAAGAAAGGTGTGAGGCCCGGGAAAGACAATGCCAGCGGGGAGGTTTGACGATGCTAGGGCAACGCCGGTCCGGAAGGTGGTTGCAAGAACGCGGGCGCCTGCTGCAATACAGGTTCCCGTCATGGCATCAAGTTCAGGGAAGTCACAATAGATGAGGCAAAGACGAGCGTTGTTCGTGTCTGAGGGCAAAGTCAGCGGGAGTTGTGCCATGTGCGTCAGGAGATTGTTCTTCCAGACAAAGGCGGGGTCTGAGGTGCCAAAATCGGAGGCGATACAGGCTGCAGCATCCGTGAAGCGCAGCGCTAGGGGTCGTTGAAGAAGACTTCCGCGGAGCATTGCGGTCTGGTTGATGGGCGCCATGGTTAGTGTCACGACCTCTTCCCTCACAATAGGATCTATCAAGCAAGATTGAAGGGCATCGCGTGAGAGGCACAAAGTGAGATGGCCGGCGTGGAAAGTATGGGGACAATAAAAGAGGAAAGCCACAAGAGAGCCACACACACACACACACACACAGCATCGGGCAATGTCTGGTCGGTTCAGTCTCAAGCAATGTCTCCAAACATACCACTTGGGGCACGATGTATTTGGATGGTGTACTCGGCTGTAGCAGATTCTACACTGGAGCTAATGACAAGCCAGGCCGTGCCAATGGGGGGAGTAATCAGCCAAGTATTGGTAGCTGCCGTGGCCAGGGGGATGCCGGAAAGGGTGACAGAGGCGACTGCACCCGTCCGGGGTCTAGACTGTAGGCGAACGGTACGTTCGCCATGGGGCAACCAGAGGGTGTAGTTGGCAGTGTCTGGGCTGAACTCGGGCTGCAGGACACCACCGTTGGACACAACCAAGTTGTCCAGACGAGCATCTATTGAGGTCAAGCCCCCAAAAGAGGGTTAAGAAAACAAGGAGGGGGCCCTTGGTTGGAAAACCTGGCCAGCGAGGGAGAGGATTGGAGAAGGTGAAAGGTGATGCGCCAAAGAACACGCACCAGTGTACATAGGTCGAAGAGATGTCGTTTGCAGGGCCGTAGTTGGTTGAAGGTTGAGAAGTGCGGCAAAAGTAATGTTGTCAATGAGGCCTGTGGCGAGAGGCGGAGCCCGCCAACGCAGCCGAGCCTGGGTCGTTGAATCGGTGGCATTGTGAGTGGCATTGATCCATGCTTGAACATGGCCCTGAGCGGCTCGTGTGGGGCAGAGAGTGGCAGCTTGGGCTGTTGGCATGTTAGCAGGGTTCGAAACAAGCCATGTTCCTGCCGAGGCGTCCAATGCTTGTGCCACCCCTTCAAGCGCAACCTTTGTCTTGAGCAGTACTGCATCATTGGGAATCATACAGGGTGAGTGGACCCCAGCCTCGAGGAGATCTTCTTGGCCCCAGACGAGATCAAACACATCCAAACAACAAGCCTCCCCCCAATCCTAACCCTCAACACACATCAAAAAAGGGAATGCTCGACTGGCAAGCCGTTCAAGTCCACCTACCATCGTATTCGGTGTCGGGAGCATAATACTCCGTGATATCCTCGGTCGCGGGAGCCACGACAACGAGCTGGAGACGATCGTCGGTGTCTGGCGACGTCGTGGAAGCATTGCAGAGCGTCTCCCAGTCCCAAGCCGAGACGGCTGGACACAGGGCACAGCTGGTCAAAACGAGGAGGAGCCAGACCCCAACCCCTTGTGGCAGGACGCTGCGGTGACGCCAGCCGCCGTTGTGCGCCATCGTTCCTGGTTGTCGCGGCCAGCCGACGCTGTTCTACCCGGGCGACCACCCGGTACCCTACAGCTACTCCACGTCCATGGCAGTTGGCCTCAGCCCATGCCCATCCAGACACCTCCAACCTCTACACTCTCAAACCCACGCGAGCCGTCGTCCACCCGCGTGCATTCAAGTCAGTCGTCAGTC